GGGGCCTTTGAGCTGCTGCTCGGGCTGCTCCCACACTATGGAGTGTACTTTCATTTTCCATAAATCTCTGCTTTCGTTGCTTCATTCTTTCCTTGCTTTGCTGTGCATTTTGTCCAATTCTTTGTTCAAAACGCCTAGAAACTGGACAACTTGCAGTCAAGAGCCTCCACCAGTAACAGAAGAACTACCAATTTTTTTCCCAAAGTGGCTGCACCCTTCAATATTCCCACCATCGATGTAAGACAGTTCCAATTTCACCACATCCTCACCAACACTTGATAGTGTGTATGTTTCTGATAATAGCCATCCTTGTGGGTGTAAAGAAGGCTTTCATTCTGGTTTTGGTTTGCATTGCCCTAATGACTAGCGATGTTGAACATCTTTCCATGTGCTTTGGCCATTGGTATATCTGCTTTGGATAAATGTCTATTCAAATCATCTGCCCATTTTTAAAATCAGGTTGTGTTTTCATTATTGAATTGTAAGAATTCTTTATATATTCTGGATATAAGTCCTTTGTCAGAGACATGATTGGCAAAGATTTTGATATAGACAACAACATTTTTTGTGCATTGTTTTTCCACTTTCTTGATGATATTTTGTAGCACAAAAGTTTTTAATTTTTATTTTTTTATAGAGACAGGGTCTTGCTATGTTGCCCAGGCTGGTTTTGAACTCCTGACAAAAGTTTATCATTTTGATGAAGTCTAATATATCTGTTTTTTCTCTTTGTTGTTTTGTGCAATTGGTGCCATATTTAAGATGACATTACCCAAAGTCACGAAGATTTATTCCTAAGTTTTATTCTAAGAGTTTTAGTTGGACCTATTTTGACCTAATTTATGTGTATTATGTGAGGCTGGGGAACTGACTTTATTCTAGACATCCTATCTTTACCAAATACTTGAGTATCTATTACTGAATGAAAATTGTTTTAGATTTTTGACAACTGTTCTTGAATTTCAGAGCAGGGACTTGGCCTCATTATCTTTGAGGCCAAAGGTAGCAAAGGATTCCTTTTCACAGTAAAAACAAATAAAACCCTGATCTCTTCATTTGTTGAACAGTTTCTTCTTTTCTGTCTTTAGTTCTCTCTCTTTGTCAAAATACTGAACTTTCCATCTTTTCTTTATTCTTTTTTTTCATTTGTCATTATACTGTAATATCGCAAGCACATTCCAATATTAGAACACACACACACACACACACGTGCATGGCCCCATTTCTCCGACTTCTTCATCTATCCTGTGCTTTCGTTACCATTCTCTAGGTCAGCCCAGGGTTCTGGTCAGCAAATGAGCCTGATGCCATCACTCTCTCATTCACCCCACATCTCTTTGGGGCAAACCAGAACCCCCACCAGACTGACCTCCAGTTTAGGCTTTGCCATGTGCTGAACGTGTAGATCTGGCGAAGTAGCATCCACGTCAGGCCCCATGCAGAAAAGGGAGGGTTGGATGAGATGGATCACAGATATTGGAAGGATATGATCCCTCTTCCGATCACTCACAGTGGGTCTTTGCTCACCTCAGGTGTGTATTGACCTTACAATAAACTGCACAATGGATCCCTCCCAACCCGAGGCTACCTTCCTTTCTCTTGGGTGAAAAATTGCAGTTAGAATGAAGCACAGATTCCTCTCCAAGGCCTGCGAGTCATGTGAGCCACTTACCTACCTTGGCCACTGTCCTCTGCTGGCCGGGGCACATCTGGCTGGCTTCTGCTCCCGAGCCCTGCTGGGGCCTGTCCCCTGGTCTTCTTGAGGCTGCCCTTCCCCTAATGTCTTGGCGGGCAGGCCTCTGTCTCGGGGGCGTTCTCTGAGCACCTAGGGAGGTCACAGCCCCTACCTCGGCTTCTTCACTTCTTCCTATGGCCACATGTGCATCCCCTCAGGCCCTGCTGCTCCCTTGCACCTCCTGTCCGTGTCCCCTGCAGGTCAGCAGGTCAGCCTGGAGGACTGGGACCCAGCCTGCCTCACTGGCAGTGCCTCTCTCCATTCCAAGCTGGGACTGGCACTCGGAATGAGCTTAGATAACGCCTGTTAACAATCATTAACTAGGCTTTTTTTCCTAGGTACCCATGCAGCCTCTCTTTTCCTTTCCTTTGGCTTCCGCCTGTCCTGCAGGGACCACTAAGGGAGCAGTTAAGGTTGGGGAGCATTGGTGGAGGGGGAGGAGGATGACCCTTCAGATCAGCTCCATAGCGCAGATGACAGGGGACAGATGGTAGCTCACTGCGGCTTGCCAGGCCGGACAGCGAGTAAGGACGCCGGGGACAAGTTAGCATGGCCAGTTGCAGCCTGGGTCCCGCACCTGCTCTCAAGGGCGTTGAGCGACCTCTCCTGCTGAGTTGAACCCACCTGCATGTAGGGGCGAGTTGGGGGGCAGCCGGTGCCAAGGGTGTCAGGAGTCAGTCACTGGCCATGAGGCCTGCACAAATCATCTCCCCTGTCTGCATCTGGGATTGCCTGTTTCTCAATCAGCATGAACAGTGCCCATCTCCTCGGTTATGGTCAGGGTGAAGTCACTGTGACACACGAAGCCCTGAGAATAACACCTAACAACTAAAGGGGTGAGTTTGCTGTTATTATCACATGAAGGTGTGAGTTCGCTGATATTACATGAAGGTGTGAATTAGCCGTTATTCCATGAAGAGAAGGAGAAAACGAGTAATATAGAAGTGGTGCAGGCAGCCCCTCTCCCCAGGCATCCGCCCCAGGGCCTCTGCACTTTGCATACAGCTGGCGCCCAGCCCCTTAGAAGTCACCGAGCTGACAGCACAATGGGGCAAAGAAAGGAGCGGCTGAGAATAAAGACTGAGCTGGCGACCGTGGCCCGGGGTTCCTATTGTCCAGGCACATTCTCCTCACGCCTCCTCCCTTCAATTTTTTTATTTTAATTAGCATAACTAAACTGAGCACCCAAGGTCTTTGTCCTCATCGCCAGCCTAACCTGCAGGCTCTTCGGGAACATGGTTGGGAGAAGCGATGGTCCGAATTAGAAACACAGGGTTTTGCACAAAGTGCCAATGCAAGGAGCATGTTCATTTTCATCATTTTCAAATCAAAAGCACTTTCCAGCCTCCTTCTGGGGGAAAGCAATGGGCACGCGTGATCCTTAAACAGGCTCCTCACAGAGGCAGATGCGTATCAGGTGGACCGGGTAGGACTGGGCACCCTCAATCAGCAGCAGCAGGATTGGATTAGCTTTCTGTCCTCCTGCGAGGTCACCCGAAGCCCAGCTGCGAATGCAAATTTGCAATGAGAAAGGGTGCGGTTTCCAATCTCCACCAGTCAGCGGGAGAGCCAGTTACCTAGGTGACAGGCTGTGCTGTTTTCCTGGTTAAATTCACAGGAAGGAGAGGAAGGGGAAAATATTTAAATGAGCCTGAGCCATAAGCTAACCCTCCTCCCTGGTGAAGGCTGACCTCCAGCCATCGCTGAGAATTGCAGAGTACATTTTAACCTGTTCTCTCACTTCCTAATCCTTCTTGCAGTCAATGCCATCGACTGCAAGTTTGATTGTTCCTGGTGGATTTTTCAATTTGTATCAATAGGCAAAAGAAAGCAAAAGGCATCAGGGCAATTTGTGTTTTCACAAGTGAGTTTTATTTGCTTCCTATGTAGCAATTAATGCTAAATTCTCAGGTTACAATATGAAAAAGAAGCTTGTATGAGAGAGTAGTGACTGCTCTTTCTCTGTCCCAGAATTATAAAGAAGTAGCAATACTTGAATAACTGTAAGGTTGTGGTTTAAACGCATCTGTGTATCCATTTATGTACCTACACAGACACATCAGGGCTGTATACAATTTTCTTCCTTCGTTCCCTCCCTTCTTCCCTCCCTCCTTCCCTTTTTCTCTTCCTTCCTTCCTCTCTCCTGCTCTTTTTCTTGACAGACACATTTAGACTGAAATGTCCCCTGTCCTTAAACACTTCACAATCTAGTTGGAAGACAGACCAAGAAGTAGTTATATCTCAAATGTCAAGCAGCCTTTTCCAGCCCGCTGAGTCAGGAAAATCACATTAACATTGACAACCCACAGTTTCCATTCTCGTCCCCTCCTCCACCCACAGGACTTCACTCCCAAGTCGCCTCCCCTCCAGTGTGGCTGATCAATGAGGCAGGCTGGACAAATCGAGGGACAAATAAATAAATGAACAAAAATTATATAGGGTCCAATCAGGTATGCCTTGATATAGGTATGAATATGTTCCTGAAAATTGATTTGATTCATTTAGATCATCTATTTTAAAACACAGGATGAGAACTTACTATCTAAAGTAACTTAATAGTGAATCATTTTGTAAAGCACAGAAATTACTTTCATTTTGTAATGATCATGATTAATTTTTTTTGGCATGGATTTTCACATATGGATTTTTCGTTTTCTGTTTGTTAGAGACGGGCTTACTGTATCACCCAGACTGAGTGCAATAGTGTGATCACAGCTCACTGTAGCCTTGAACTCCTGGGCTCAAGCCATCCTCCTGCCTCAGCCTCCCGAGTAGCGGGGACTATAGGCTTGTGTCACTAAGCCTAACTAAATTGTTTTATTTTTTGTAGAGACAGTGTCTCACTATTTTGCCCAGGCTTGGAATTTTCATATACAGGTCTCATAATATTCTAGAGATTCTGTGTACCCACGAAAATTAAACATATTTTAAAACATTCTAGAGACTCATCCAGGAAGCTATGACGAATCCCAGACAGTCAGAAGCCAAGGTCAGGAAATCCCACCTGAATTTGCTACTACAGTTACCCATCAGGAATTTGGTAGGAAAGCTTTTTTTTAAATTTATTTTTTATGTTTTTAAATGAAGTCTTCTCTTTCCAGAAGTGAGTACTGACTGGCACCTGCAGGATGGTTAAGCTCGGTGAGTGAGCAGCTCACAGGCCGCCCATACCAGAGCTGGTAGGAACATAGCCAGTGAGTGTTTTGTAAAAGCCCAACCATGGGATACCTTGCGAGTCCACTTGTCTAATACTCAACAGCTGCAAAACTGGTGTGTGGTGGTAGAAGTCAGGAGGTATCTTTGGAAGAGAGGGAAGAGCTAGTCAAACCAGAACACGATTAACGCTTCAGAAGTGTTAATCAGATTAACGCTAACAGAAGTGCTTGCTGCGTGCAGGATGGGAAATACCAGATTGGATGAACGTGCGAGGAAAGCCTGGCGCAGGTGCTTATCTGAGCTGGGAGGGACGCGCCTGCAAACTTCGGTGGCTGGAGCTGGGAAAGGAGTCTGAGCTGCCTGTCGCTGGGTGACCCTGGGCACGTCCACGGCCACTTTGGAGTTTCCCTCTCTGTGAGGTGGGGCTGGTGAGCTCTTCCCGTGGACTTTTCAGGGTTTGGGCTCCCGGCGAACTGTTGGGAAGCGCAAGGCCAGGCGAGGCTCTCCCAGGAGCACCCACAGCCAGGCACGGGGCTCCAGCCCCAATCCCACAGAGCCGCTTGTCCTTCCTCTGACACTTCAGTGAAGGACTTATGCATGGCTAAAGCAAAGTCTTGAAAGCCAAGGGCCTGCCTGGATTTCTCTGGTCATCTGAGGAGGGTGGAGAGGGTGCTGACATGGGTGGGGGCTGTGCAGGGAGGGGACGTGCGGCCCCCTCACAGCCAGAGGAGACCTGGCCCCCCTGCGAGCTTGACCTGGAGCCCGCCTGGCCTCCGGGGAGCAGGACCTTCTTCGCGGCAGGAAAGGAGGGCGTTGGAACCTCTCAGCCCGCGTGGCTGGGGCGCTCACAGGTGCGTCTCCTCCCCACAATCTCATCTTACAGACGGAGGGACTGAGGCTTCAGAAAATCCAGCGCATTTTCCCAGTTCACAGTCAGGAAGGGCAGGCTTCCAACGCACATGGAAATCTGCTGGGGTCCAGGCGTCTGCCCCGGCTCGGGCGTTCTGCGCGGGGGCTGCGTCTCAGGCCAGCCCATCTCCAGCGGCCACTTCTGTCACGGACGGCCTGCGAGGAAGCCGAGTTTCCATCTGAGCGTGGTCATGGATATCAGCCCCGGGAGTCGCCAAGATACATGAGGGAAGAGTAAGTCCTTTTAACTTCATCATCTGCAGGTGCCCAGACGACTGTCTCGTCGGGTTGGGGGGGGTTTCTGGGGAGGTCAGGCTGGTGGCCGCCCCTGGCTGAGTCATCCAGGCTGCTGTGACGGCGCCTCTCTTCCTACCCCCTCTGCCCCCTCTCTGTGGTGCTTCTCTCCTGGCCACTCTGCCCCAGAGCCTTTGTTACAAAGTGGTATATGGGTGATTGAGCCTGTGCATGATGTGTTCAAGCTCCTTCACCGAGAAGCTTTCCAGAGAGAAATTCCACAGTGGCGCCATAGAAACCCTTCCCTAGGACAACCAGCTACTCCTATAGTTTGAGAACGGCAAGATGTTGAAACACAATACAAACTACCCTTGCAAATGTCATAAAATCTGTGTGGTTCCTCCCTGTCCCAAATTTCTTAGAGTCCTGTTCTCTTCCCTGTCCCCAACTAGATTCCTTATGAAGACACAGAGACCATCATTTCAGCTCAAAAGACATTCAGTCTTTTTTTTTTTTTAAAGAGAGGGCCTCACACTGTCACCCAGGCCAGAGAGCAATGGCACAATCATGGCTCACTGTAGCCTCAACATTTTGGGCTCAAGTAATCCTCCTGCCTTAGCCTCCCAAGTAGCTGGGATGACAGGTGTGCATCTCCATGCCTGGCTAATTAAGTGCTAATTAGCCAGCTAATTAAGTGCTGCCTGTAATCCCAACACTTTCGGAGGCCGAGACGGGCGGATCACGAGGTCAGGAGATCGAGACCATCCTGGCTGACACGGTGAAACCCTGTCTCTACTAAAAAATACAAAAAAACTAGCCGGGCGAGGTGGCGGGCGCCTGTAGTCCCAGCTACTCGGGAGGCTGAGGCAGGAGAATGGGGTGAACCCGGGAGGCGGAGCTTGCAGTGAGCCAAGATCACGCCACTGCACTCTAGCCTGGGCGGCAGAGCGAGACTCTGTCTCAAAAAAAAAAATAAATAAATAAAATATAAATAAATAAAATAAAAAAAATAAATAAATAAAATTTTTTTTAGAGATGGGGTCTCACTATGTTGCCCAGGCTGGTTTCAAATTCCTGGGTTCAAGTGATCCTTCTACCTCAGCCTCTCAAATTACTGGCATTATAGGCATAAGCCACCACACCCAATCTCATTCTTGACTTTGCAATAAACCTACTCTGAGGACAGAGTGATGACAGATTTCTCTGCAGAGAAAATACAGAAAACTTTCTGCTGCCCTTCACCTGGGGTGATCTTCGTCACCACATGTAACTGAGTCAGGATGGGTGAGAACTGAGAGCTGGTAGGATCCTTCCAGGACAATGAAGGCGCTATCTAAGGGGGTCATTTCAAGGCAGTGCTAAGGGAGGTTGGCTGCTGGACCAACTCCCAAGGCCAGGCAAGCATACCCTGAGCTTGCTGACTTGGCAGGTTGCTAGTTGCCATGGCAACACAGCAACCTCCAGAGATGGGCAGGATGGGGCCAGAAAGGAGGAAGGCCCAGCAGGTAGCTAAGCTATTGCATGGGGGTGCGGTGGGCTCAGGGGTTCCGGAAGGAGCTCCAAGTATATGTAGGACATTACAGTTTATTTTTTTATGGTGAAGGAAAAACACCATAAATGGTGATGATGAAGAAAGTTGTGTGATAATGGAGAAAGGAAAAGGTCACCATAAACACTAGAAAAGAACCAAATGAAGGCAAGGGACAGTGAGAAAACAATACCTTGGTGGAGTTTAAAATCTTGCCAAGGAGGAAAGCAAGCAGCAACCTGGATCTTTGGAGCCGAAAAGAAAAGAAATGAAAGCATCTACAAAGGCCCCTGTGCCTGCAGCCTGGGGCAGTGCGTGACCAGGGAGGCCCAGGGAGTGACCTTGGTGATGACAAAGCCAGACTTGTGTCCGAAATGGAAAAGCGGCAGCCGCCCTCCGCAGCCAGAAGCACACAGCAGTTTTATATTCAGTGCTGATGGTGGCTGGAGACTTTGCTCTGCCTTGAATTTAAAGCATTTCTTCCTATGAAATCAGACCTTTCCTATAATGGGAAAATGGATTTAAGTGGCAGTTTCAAGTAGTAGTCACAGGTGATGCCAGGCACAAAATGCAAAAAAGCGTTAGGCTGGTTCCAAGCAGGCAGACTTTACTGCTGGATTAGGCCAGTCGGCAGGTGCTCCTGGCTCTCAGGAAATCTGCTCCTATGTGCCTGCTGTCACCCACCTCGTCAGAGATGAGACCTTCAGAGGGCCAGTGGGTGTAAGTGATTGCCTTGCCCTGGGCCCTCACTGTGAAGTGATTAAGAGGATGTGTGGACAGCCTGCCAGGAGTGTGAACACACATTATGACTTGAGTCAGAGGAGCCACCACCAAGACAGTCCCTAGCCTTCCTGACGATCTCACAGGGACTACCTGAAAAGCCCTAACTTCTGAGTGACCACGGCCAGGGTTAACTTTCTCTGTAAATTCATCTGAGCAGAAAGTGAGCAGAACCAATGTTATTATTTCCAA